AGGAGGGGAAGGGGTAATAATTCAGAAGACGGAGAGGCTTTCGAGAAAATTGCTAAACAAGATTATTTATGTCCCCCCCCCCCCCCGGGGGGGGGGGAAAGATAGCTACCTGAACACTTGGTAGCTCTGCTGTGCCAACTATCCTCTTTATGATGCCTCTGTCACCTCTAATTCCTGACTTTAGTTTGCCTGGTCCATCTTCCGATTGATTTAGCTGGCGTCTCTTTACACTGTCAGCTCAGCAAACTGGCGTGATGTGCAAATTGAAACCTTTCTAACAAATCACTTTAGGATAATTTCCCCCCCTCCTCCTGTCCCTCCCCACAGGGTAGGGGATCTGCCATTTGTGCTGGCTGCCAGGAGGAGAGGGCCGTATACATTCATCTCCAAATGATGGGTCCATTTTATTAGGAGAGGCATATAAACAGCTCACGTCAGGCTGGCTCACTGTGGCGTTCTGCGCTCCAAAGCTACTTGGGTCTCCATGCGCCGCCGCTGCTATCGGAAAGCACGCACCCCGAGGGGATAGTTCAGCTCGCTCGCTCTCGTTAGGAAATCTATTTTCTCGGGCTCTTTTTTTTTTTGTACTGTCTCAGCAGTATATGTAAATAAAGGATTGTTATGGTGCCATAATTTTAAAGCAATGGGGTCTAACTATACATCAGCCGATCTATAAAGCAATCTGCCGTGACATCGCCAGGGCCGCTCTCTCCTTCTCCTCCCCCAGGCGAAATAATTTAGTTAGGCCAAGCAATCCTCCGGATACCCCAAAAAAGAGCAGCTATAATTAAATCGGATTCAATGGGAGGCCTCGTGCTATGTCAGATGCTCTCAGACTGCAGCGCAGAGTTTGAGACCAGCAGGCGATGGCGTTTGCTGGCAGAGGAGGAGGAGGAGATTGGGTTTATACCCCGCCCTTCACTACCCGAAGGAGTCTCAGAGCGGCTTACAATTTCCTTTCCTTTCCCCTCCCCACCACAGACACCCTGTGAGCTAGGTGGGGCTGAGAGAGCTCTCCTGAGAACTGCCCTTGAGAGAACAGCTCTGAAAGGACCCAAGATATCCTGAGAGTCTTTTCCTCAAACATTGGCCGCTTCATATTGAAACCCACCAACGCAAAATGATCTTGGATATTATGATATTCGCAGCCCGCACGGCAATAGCCACTTGCTGGAAAAACCCAAAACCACCAGTGGTGTCCATTTGGTACCAAAAACTATGGGACCAATTCCTTATGGACTCCGTCACCAACAAAATAAATAACACAAGTTTGAGGCCTGTACTACGACCTATAATGGAAAAATGGACCCCTATACTAGAATTTTTAGCCTCAGAAGAATACTTGCCTGCTTCCTGGCAACACATGCAGAAATGGATGTAAATGTTCCTGTACTTTGTTGCACAAAAACCAGATTATATTTTTTATTACTTACCTTAATGAGCTCACGTTATACCTATACTTTACCATCTCATAGAGTATTAAACAGCTGTTCTCAGGAAATTATAGATGAATTGTCTTGTTACGCACAATAGTTATGTTCGTTTGAATTATGATTGTAATCCTTTTGGATTCGAAAAACATTGTATTCTGTAACTGATTAATTACTAGTCTATTGTATTGGACTCACATGCTACTTGTTGACTGTTAAAATAAATAAAAACTATAAATAATAATCTGCATGTAGAGGAGTGGGGAATCAAACCTGGTTCTCCCAGATCAGACTCCGCACTCCTAACCACTACAACCAAACTGGCTCTCCATTCCAAGAGCAACCACAATGCAATGGAAGTCAGGCCCTGACTTAGCGTAGCGTGACAGTCGCAAACCTTTTATACCCCGTCTTTCGCCCCAATGGGAACAGAAAGCCGCTTACAATATCATCAATATTATCAGTATCATCCTCATCTTCACAACAACAGCCCTGTGAGGTGGGTTAGGCTGAGAATGTGTGGCTGGCCCAGAGGTCACCCAGAGAGCTTCCATGGCAGAGTGGGAATTTGAAGTCTGCTTTTTCAGGTCTCTGTCCGACACTCCGACCACTGCCCCATGCTGTCTCTGGATTTGCCAATGACAGCGTCCTTTGACATGGAAATCCCAGCAAAATTCATGGCTGGCTCCATCTCCAAAGGGAAACTAACAATTCCTTGGAGGGGGAGAAAAGGCAGAGTAGTTCGATTTAGTGTATTGAACAAAAATAAGCTTCTTCTTTTTTTTGCTTATGGATCTCAGACTGCTATATGAGAAGAGTGAGGAGAGATTGTGAGACTGAGGAAAGCGAGTGTGGTGTAGTGAGTAAGAGTGTCAAGACTAGTATCTAGGAGACCCAGGTTTGAATCCCTACTCGTGCCGTGGTAGCTCGCCGGTTGACCTTGTGCCAGTCACACGCTCTCAGCCTAACCTGCCTGCAGGGTTGTTGTGAGAATAGAATGGAGAAGAGGAGAATGGTGGAAGCTGCTTTAAGTCCCCTTTGGGGGCAGAAGTGGGATATAAATGAATTAAATCAATTAAAAAAATAATAAGTGAGCCTAAAGCTCCTGCTAGGATCTTTCATGTGGTGCCACATTGTGGGGGTGTTGTGAGAATAAAATGGAGAAGAGGAGAATGGTGGAAGCTGCTTTAAGTCCCTTTTGGGGGCAAAAGTGGGATATAAATGAATTAAATCAATAAATAAAATATTAAGTGAGCCTAAAGCTTCTTCTAGGATCTTTCATGTGGTGCCACATTGTGGCTCAATGTTACAGCCAAACTGTGCCTACAACTGGTGTCTGTGAAACACCGCTGGCTGGCAGAATATCCGCATTGTGTGCTGCCATCTTGGCTCTAGGGCTTTCCCGCTGAGATGGCCTCACGTTCAGGTCCGAATCATTCAGCGATGGCGTAGAGGAAGTAAGGGCCGTATGCAACATCCCCCCTCAGAGCTGGTTCTAGATGGGGGGGTCCCCTGGTCACAGAATTCTCAGGGGGCTCCTTCCCACCCACTCACCCACGTGTCTCAGTGCCTACCTACGGACCCCTCCTCGCCCTGCTCACAAGCCCCCCCTCAGCTCATCACCATCTGCACTGCCCACAGCTGGGCAGTGTGTGCGAGGGTGGCAAAGCATTCACAAGTGAGCGGGCAGGGAAATGGTGTGTTGTGAGGGTCGACCGCAGGGGGCCCTCCCAGACCCCCTGGGCCCCGGCAGCTGCCCCACCTGAGGATACATTGACGCCAGCCCTGGACCCACCAAGCCCAATGGCAGCCATGTATGGGGGGGGTCACTCACTAGGTGTTTCCACTTCACCTACCGATCCGGGCTTGGAATAAAGAGAAAGAAGCAGCGTTCTGCTTGGCCACTCACAAGTTATGCATGTTAGGGAGATCATTCTGCAGATAAGAAAGAAGGTGATGTCACCCATCAGCGAGGCAATTCATTGCAGCTGTTTCTATGATTTAGTACCTCTCTTTGTTTAAAGTAAAGAATCGTTCCTTTATTTAGAAAAAAACATACTTATTTAGAACATTTTATTTATCGGTTGATTTCAGATATTTCTCTGCTGCCTTCCAGAGAGCCTGCTCGAGATGGCTTATTTAACTGTCTTTTGGATTACATGTAGATACCCAGCAGTTTTTTTTTAATGCACACAAACACACACATGCTGAGACACCGCAGGTGACGTCCTCCGCATGAGATCCCTTTCTCCCACATAGGATCTCTCAGATATGCCGGCATCAGCATTCCCTCAGGCGGGGCAGTTCTCAGAGTTCCCAACCCCCCCCCCCCGGTTTGGCAGGGGTCCCCTGCTTTTGAGGGGGGTTCTTTTGAGGAGAAGCTCCACACCCAAACCCCAACACCCACAGCCACCCCTCTCCCTTCTCTCTTGAGAGGAGGGAGAGGGGTGGCTGCAGGCTACGCGCTCGATCTCCGCTTGGAGATCAGGAGCATGGGGAAATGCCAGCTCCCTTCACTTAAAGGGGCCCCTTTAAGTGCAGGGACTGGCATTCAGGCGCGCAGGGAGATCGGGCGGGGGGGACGTCCCCAACATGACGTCATCACGTCAGGATGCCCCGCCCCCTCCAGGAACGCCCCCAAAGTCCCCCGCTGAGGGTGGAAGATGGACTTGGCAACCCTAGAGACAGCATGGTGTAGTGGTTAAGAGTGACGGACTCTAAACTGGAGAACCGGGTTTGATTCCCCCACTCCTCCTCCACATGAAGCCTGCTGGGTGACCTGGGGCCAGTCACGGTTCTCTCAGAGCTCTCTCAGCTCCACCTGCCTCACAAGGTGTCTGTTGTGGGGAGGGGAAGGGAAGGCGACTGTAAGCTGCTTTGAGACACATGAAGCCTGCTGGGTGACTTTAGGTCAGTCATGGTTCTCTCAGAGCTCTCTCAGCCCCACCTGCCTCACAAGGTGTCTGTTGTGGGGAGAGGAAGGGAAGGCGATTGTCAGCTGCTTTGAGACACATGAGGCCTGCTGGGTGATTTTAGGTCAGTCACGGTTCTCTCAGAGCTCTCTCAGCCCCACCTGCTTCACAAGGTGTCTGTTGTAGGGAGAGGAAGGGAAGGCAACTGTAAGCTGCTCCAAGACTCCTTCGGGTAGTGATGGGCAGGGTATAAAACCAACTCTTCTTCTCCTCCAAGGATGGGTTAGGATGACAGTGCGTGACTGGCCCAAGGTGTACAGACGGGTAATGAGACACATGGGTGAGTGGGCCTTAAGGGGGCCCCTGAGAATTCTCTGCCAGGACCCCCCAAAATCTGGAACCACCCTGTTTCTCATACACGGTATCTGCTTATAAACAGGTATGAAGATCCTTGGTGCTTTCAGCAGAGAGAAAAAATCTTAAAAACCAGTGAGTTTCAGAAGCCAGCCACTAGAGGGAAATAAAGACTCACAACAAAGGTGTTCCACATACACTCCGTGCTAACCCTCCGGGCAGAGGCTGTTCTGCTCGGAGATTTCTGTTGACCAGTCATCTCTGACGTTTTCCTTCTCCCCCCCCCCCCCTCCAATTTCCCTAGGTTACCAGTGCAGTTGCCTGTCTCAGTTCACAGGCCGAAACTGCGAGTCAGAGATCACGGCTTGCTTTCCGAATCCTTGCCGCAACGGGGGGTCGTGCGATCCCATAGGCAGCGCCTTCATCTGCAGTTGCAAGAACGGGTTGACAGGAGTGACGTAAGTAAAGCTTTTACTGCCGGGAGCACAAACAGCCCCTTTGCTTCAAAGAACCGCAGGTCGACTGGTCATGTACCCTCTTGCATTCTGGTGAAATTCATCATGCAGCTCTCTTGGAAAGTCACTTTGGACTGCCACTCGGGGCACTGGGACCGTTGGCCTGACTCAGTACAAGCTCCGCATATTCTACCCCAATTATGAGATCATTGCCCTGATGCAGGGAGGGGGCATGGCCCAGCAGGCCTTTAGCTATGGTGGGGCTTGGGGGGCTCTGCCAGTTTGGTGTCACTGTTAAGTGTGCGGACTCTAATCTGGGAGAACCAGGTTTGATTCCCCACTCCTCCACTTGCACCTGCTGATGTGACCTTGGGTCAGTCACAAGCTCTGGCACAGCTGTCCTTGAAAAAGAGCAGTTTCTGTCAAGAGCTCTCTCAGCCCCACCCACCTCACAGGGTGTCTGTTGTGGGGAGGGGAAGGGAAAGGAGTTTGTTAGCCGCTCTGAGACTCCAAGTGAAGGGCGGGGTATAAATCCAATCTCTTCTCTTCTTCTTCTTCTTCTAAATAATCTATATATCTAATAGCCAAGTTGCCTCCTCTGTGCGGATATCTAAATCCACACATAGGGGGCAGAGAGATTTTCCTTCACACTTGGGGCAGTCCCCAGGTATGCAGAAAAATCTGAAAAGTTTAAAAAACTATAGGGGGGATACTTAAATCCCCCCAGAAGTAAAAAAGCATTCCTTGCACATGCGCAGAGAACACACTTACCCCTGGGATCTGTGGCAGAGCCACGCAGTGCTCACTGCGGTTGGTGCTGGCGGTGGCAGCGGGGGTGGAGAAGCGGTGGGGGTGACAGCTAGGAGCCACAGCCGTTGCCACTGTCAGAGACGGGGGGAGGGAGAAGCCTGGCAGGCCCCGCAACCAGGAGCTGAGCCAATTGTTGCTGCAGCGGTGGGGGGGAGAGAGAAGCCTGGTGCACCTGACAGCTCACAGCCGCACAGGACTTGCCACTGTTGTTGTTGTGGGTGGCAGTGGCGGGGAGAAGCCTTGGCAGCCCGGGAGCCGTGGGGAATACACCAACCCCACGAGTATCGCGGGTCCTGCTTCTTGTTTTTATTAAATCTTCAAATAGTAACCACCATTACAACTTATAGTAAACAACAAACAATGAAAACAGCATCCATCACGAACAATAATTGGCAATAATAGAAAGAAAGGGAGCTTATGTTACAGCTGTTTAAAAATCTAAAGGCAACATATAATGACAACAGCATAGATGAACGTCGTAGTAATAAAGTCTTCCAAGATGAAGGTAGAACTACGCAAAATGTCACAAATGTCAGTCACAAAATGACTATTTCATAAAAACGTTGAGGAATTTGGGATCATGCTATCGGGTTGGGTTAAAAAAGATGCTTCCAAAAATGGGAGCCACTTATGCATTATACTAATATAATTCCCACAGGCACAGCCCCACAAGAATTTATCCTATAAATACTTTTTTCAATCATTTTAAAACATTTTTAAATGTGTGCGCTCCTTTAAGCAGAGTGGGGTGCTGGAGTCGACTAATTCCTGCACTGAGAAAGGGGGTTGGAGTAGGTGACCTCTAGAATCCCTTCTAATTCTGTGTCAAGAAGCTGGTCTCCTTTAAGAGATTTTCTGCCTAAGTATTAGCTTTCTTTAGTTGCTGTAGATTTTCCAAGTTGTGTGGTCGTGGCCTTGGCATTGTAGAACCTGATGTTTTGCCAGTAACTGTGACTGGCTTCCTCAGAGGTATAACACAGAAAGATAGAATACTCTCTGTGTCAAGGTGAGAAGAAAATGGTAGGCAGGTAATTTATATCTACTCCAGAAAGTGTGGTAGGGCTGAGTCATTATCTTGTAGGAGTTCCCCAGGCTATGAACATGCTAATACAAACAGTATTCAGACCCACCAGAAAAATAAAACAGATGCTACAATCGGCAAAAGACAGAAGAGACCCCCTCACTTCTGCAGGAGTATGCTGCATACCGTGCAGTTGTGGACAAGTTTACATCGGGACCACACAGTGTAGCATTCAGACAAGAATAAAAGAACATGAAAGACACTGCAGACTTGGCCAAGCTGAAAAACCAGCAGTGGCTGAACATAGCCTAACTCAAACAGGACACAGTATTTTGTTCCAAGACACTGAAAGGCTGGACAACACTTCCAATTACCATGTCAGATTACACAGGGAAGCCATTTAAATTCATAAACATAAACACAATTGCAACAGGAAAGAAGAGAGTTTAAAAATAAATAGGGCATGGTTTCCTGTCCTGAAAAACACAAAAGGCTCTACATCTGACAGTAGTCCTACAGATAAGATTAGAATTTCAACAGCCAATCCACATACAAAAGAATCTCTTCAGGAAAGCTCCTCCATTAGCATGTGTTCCCTCTAAGATGAGTTAGTGTGAGCTAGCTCACAGTTTTTTAGCATCCGGCACACACATTTTTGTCTTGGCTCAGGGAGGATGGCTCCAGAGCAAATTGATTTATGCATTAGCCAAATCGCTCGCTCACAACTTTAATGCCAGTAGCTCACAAAGTAGAGTTTTTGCTCACAAGACTCCATGGCTTAGAGGGAGCATTGGTTAGGACAGGTCTACTCAGCTTGGAAACTACCAGGCCGTTTATTGGCGACCTGCCTCGAATGCACATGAAATGCCCTGCAAAGCAGCCAGCAAGCCAGAATACTTGCGATGCAGGGACTGGCAATGGCAGACCACCTTGGTTCATCTCTTGCCTTGAAAACCCAACAGGGTTGCCCTATGTTGCCTGCAACTTGACACCACTTTCCACCAGCAAGGATAACGGACATGAGTTCCAGAGGCGATCACAACATGGAGTACTGGTTAGAACAGGATCCGGGAGACCAGGGTTCAGTCCCCTACTCTGCCATGAAAACCCTGGGCCAGTCACTGTCTGTCAGTCTAAACTACCTTATTGGATTCTGAGATTAAAGGAAATGGGGAAGGGAGAATGATGTTTGCCATCTTGAGTACCCTGGAGAGAACACATACTAGAAAAGTTTGCACTTTTCAGTTCTCACCAGATCTTTCTCATACACTGTGCCAGAAATCTGGTAGGGGGGAAGTTCAGCTTACTTGTGCTTCCCCTAACCCTGCTCTCTGCGCATTTGCACAACTTTTGTCCCACTGAACCCAATTACTGCTTGATAACCCCATTGTTTCCCCCTCCCCCCCAATCTCAAATTGGTATACAATAGGGTGGTCTATTGAGCACTTGACTGACCACATTCTGATTGGCTGTTATACACTGTGCCCATCTGCTGTAAATACGAAGCCCCTCCGTCCATCCTTTTACTGGGCCCACAATGATTTAACGGATGAGTTATCTGATACGGAAAGCAAGAGAAAAAAGCAAGCCAAACAAAGGCATTTGGGTGCTGCGATAAGCATTGAACTCCATCATCCACCTCTCTTTCTTCCCCCTCTAGGTGTGAGGAAGATATCAATGAATGTGAGAGAGAGGAATGTGAGAATGGTGGCTCTTGCGTCAATGTCTTTGGTTCATTTTTGTGTAACTGCACTCCCGGGTTTGTGGGCCAGCACTGCGGGCTGAGGCCAGTGGTCGTCCCCAACATCCAGGCCGGACATTCTTACGTGGGCAAAGAAGAGCTGATCGGCATCGCTGTGGTTCTTTTCGTCATCTTTGTGCTCGTCGTCCTTTTCGTTGTCTTCCGCAAGAAAGTCTTCCGGAAGAACTATTCCCGTAACAATATCACCTTGGTCCAGGATCCGGCCACTGCCGCACTGCTTCACAAAAGCAACGGGATTCAGTTCAAAACCATGAGGAACAGTGGGGATGGTCGCAACATCTACCAAGAGGTGGGGCCCCCGCAGGTCCCCGTGAGGCCAATGGCCTACACCCCTTGCTTTCAAAGTGACTCCAGAAATAACCTGGACAAGATCGTGGACGGACTCGGGGTGGAGCATCAGGAGATGACAACGTTCCATCCGGAATCTCCCCGGATCCTTACTGCAAGGCGGGGGGTTGTGGTGTGCAGCGTGGCTCCCAATCTTCCAGCTGTGTCTCCGTGCCGCTCTGATTGTGACTCCATCAGGAAGACCTGGGAAAATGGCACTGATGGTGAGTACCGGGGGTGAAGGCAACACGTCATGGGGGATTGCAGGGGATTTCTTGTTTTCCTTCCCTCCTTCCTTCCACATTTTTTTCTTTATATTTGCCCCATAACACAGTGCCCATGAATACCAAGCCCATTTCACGTTACCCACTTTTAAGAACATCAGAGGAGCCCTGCTGGATCAGACCAGTGGTCCATCTAGTCCAGCATCCTGTCTCACACAGTGGCCAACCAGTTCCTCTGGAAGGCCAACAACAGGGCATAGAGGCTGAGGCCTTCCCCTGATGTTGCCTCCTGGTTCTGGGATTCAGAGGCTGACTGCCTCTGAATTCTCTTTGTCGGCTCCCTCCACCCCGTGCATAATTTTATAAATCTCTATCGTGTCCCCCCTTTGTTATCTCTTTTCTAAACGGAAAAGTCCCCGACTCCCCAGCCTTTCTTCATAGGGAAGATGCTTCATGGTGGATGCCACATTGTGATTCAAATGTTCAAAAAGCAAACAAATGATCCAGAAAACAAAAGCCGTACACAAATACTGTACGCCTTAATTAAACTTTTATTAGTTCGGTGACCAAGACTCTAAGCATGACCCTATGCTGGCTCTCCTAGCGACTAACACCACATTGGTCCTTGAGAGCCAGTTTGGTGTAGGGGTTAAGTGCGCGGACTCTAATCTGTGAGAACTGGGTTTGATTCCCCACTCCTCCACTTGCACCTGCTGAGGTGACCTTGGGTCAGTCACAAGCTCTGGCACAGCTGTTCTTGAAAAAGAGCAGTTTGGGTCAGAGTTCTCTCAGCCCCACCCACCTCACAGGGTGTCTGTTGTGGGGAGGGGAAGGGAAAGGAGTTTGTAAGCCGCTCTGAGACTCCAAGTGAAGGGCGGAGTATAAATCCAATCTCTTCTTCTTCTTCTTCTTCTTCATTGGTTGATCCTCGCTTGCTGCAGTAAGCATGTAAAGCCCAAAACTCTTATTTCATTGCTTTTCCTAATGCCAATCACTTCCAAACACGTTGGGTCACATTACTCACCTGCATAATTGAAGCTGCTTGACTGAGAGGTGTCTCGATCTGCAGATTCGATAATTACTCCCCAGCTAAGTAAATTACTGTTCCCGCCACGTGAAGTGAAAATCAGTGTGTGCCTAGCATTTTGTAGCTGAAAGAGAGATCCGTCTACCCACTTTACCCAGTGCCGTTTCTTGTGTGTGTATATATAGGCAAAGGAGTTGATGACGCGGAAGAAGTCACCTGTTTCTCAGGAAGTAATAAAGGCAGCAATTCCGAAGTTCAGTCCCTCAGTTCCTACCAGTCAGACTCCGGCGATGATAACGGTAAGAACATCATTACCGTATGACTTGCTGCAACCATAAATTTAAACTTGGTTCTCCATCAGCCGCATGGCTAGAAAACTTTGTTGCGCCAGAGGTCACAGATCCACCCGGTGAGTCCGTGAAAAGTGTTGACGGAGCAGGTCTTTCCCCGCCTTTTTGCAAGCGGTCTGCCGTTTGCTGTGAAGCTCCTCTCTGAGGATCAGAGAAGCCTCGTGTGCGAAACATACCGTAGGAAAAGGCTGCTGCTTTGATGAGGGAAATCAGGAAAAGCACTTCTGTCTCCCTCTTTGTTTGTCGTGAAGCTCCTCTCTGAGGATCAGAAGAGCCTCGTATGCAAAACATACCGTAGGAAAGGCTGCTGCTTTGATGAGGGGAATCAGGAAAAGCACTTCTGTCTCCCTCTTCCACGTGTGGCTTGTATCAGTGGAGCAGAAAGAGGTGATTTTCTCAGGTTCCCCCTCATTGCTGCAGCCCTGTGGCATCTTTCTCTTGGGCAGCTCTCCGTGCTTCACATAGGAGTTTCGGGACAAGTGGTAGGACACCTTCAGAACGGAAGGCCGGGAATGATCCGACTCATCAAAACCTTCGATTAATTCTTCTGCTGGATCCAACCCTGTGCCCTGCCCAAAAGTAAGATCCCTTCAGAAGGGAAGGCAGAGAACAGCCCATGCCGTCAACACCTTCTGTTAACCCTTCCGCTGGATTCAACCCTGTGTCCTGCCCACAGTTTAATGTGGCTGTTCTGGGACTGGGTTCTAGCAGGGTGAGGTTAAGTTATTATTGATGACTGAGCACTTAGTTTAAAAGAGCCAAGAGCTTGACAGACATCTGACACCAGTGGTTCCCAAGCTCTGTTGTATAGAAAAGGGCCCTTTGGCTTTGTGTGTTCTGTATGGACTGCCAGATATTTTTCCCAAATGGCCGCCATGCGAGAGGATGTTTGAAAAGCTTCCAAACCGAAAGCTTGCAAAAAGAACATTCTGAAGAAATCGGTCTCTGGGGTCGCTTGGTATTTGCTTCCTTTTAATGTTGGGTAAAATTGCTTTTTAAATCTAAGATGCGATGCAAAATCAAAGGACTACAAACGGTTATTGAAAACTGTGGAAATGTCGTTCTTCCCACAAGAGGACTGGTTGCCTTAGCAGACAGTATCGCCAAGAGCTGTATATTGGATGGGGCGGGATATAAATCCCAAAAATAAATAAATAAATAAATAAATAAGATACAGCGTGGGAAGTTACGCGGGAGAATCTGGGGGGAAAGAGGACACGGAACCTCTTCATTGCTGCCGAGTCTTTCTAGCTAATGCCTCCCCAAGGATGCTTTTCTTCCAGTTGGGCTAGATTCTGGTCACAAACAAAAGCCAATGAAACTGGTCCATAGGCGGGGCTAATGCAATGATGTCATTTCCCCCCTCCTAAACTCCTTGTTACGGGGGATGGACAGGATAAGGGAGGGAACAGACACATGTAAATCAGTGTCCCGCTATATGTTGTTCAAGTTGCTGACTAGTTTATATGTGACTTGGTTCCCCTCCAAGGCGGTAGTTCTCAAATTTTTTGAAGTGGGACCCACTTCTAAACTTACTCAATGTTTGGTGCTTGGCTTGGCCTCAGATACTGGTGGTGCGGAACCCCTGGTAGCAAACTAGGGTCGCCAATTCCAGATTTGGAAATTCCTGGAGATTTGGGGGCAGAACCTGGGGACAGCGGAATCTGGGGAGGGGAGGGGAGGGGAGTTCAGCAGAGATGCAATGCCGTAGACTCCACCCTCCAAAAGTGTCATTTCCTCCAGGGGAAATGGATCTCTGTGGTGTGGAGGTCAGTGGTCATTCCAGGCAGGGGTCATTTCGTAGAAAAAGAGGTGCAGGAGTTCATTAGCATATCTCATTAGCATACCTTATTTGCATAGGCCACACCCCCTGGCATCACCGGAAGTGCGTCAGAAGGCAACACCCACTGCTCAGGCTCCACTGGACTGTTTTTGACTGCTAGCTATTGGGG